TGCAGTGGTGGGAGCTGCCACCCCCTCCCTGCACTGGGCACCCTGTGGGTGAGCCAGCTGTACAGGGCCTGCCGCTTCCCCAGCCCCAGCTCCACTCCTTCCCTCACTGCCATGGGGGTGGGGGCAGATCAAGGCCTCAGCAGTAAGCCAGAGAGCGGGGCACAGGTAGGAGCAGGGTCTAGGGTGAGTGGGGCCCCGGCCGGGCCAGATGGTAGAACAAGCCTGGAGCCCCACTTGCCCCAGCCCCTGCACCTGCCTGTGCCCCACTCCCTCCTTAACTGCTGGGGCCTCTATCTGCCCTACGCCCCTTCTCCCCCAGGCTTACATGCGGGGTGGGGCACCCCCAAATAATTTTTTCGCCCTCCGCCTTGATCTCCACCCCCCCACCCCCGCTTTCCTCCCCACAAACTGGCTGGGGGCAGGGGCACGGCAGAATCCTGGGTTGCTTTTTAATTCAAAAAGTGATCTGCTTAAAAAGGTTGGAATCCATTACTCTAAAGTATCTACTCTTGCCATTGTTAGAGACAAGATACTGGGCTCGATGGACCATTGATCTGACCTAGTACAGCATTTATGTTTTTATGACTTGCCTCTGTTCTGCCAACTGTCAATCTGAGAAAAAAACATAACTAATGGGTCCTGTTTATGGTCATAATATTTGGTCCAATTGCCAGAGGTGACAGCTTGATATTATATAAACATGGCACAGGCCAAGTTTTTGATGTCACTGCCATACTAAACTAAAATTGTGTACAATAACCAAAGACAACATGCAAATTGATAGCAGTAACATGCCAGAGTGTTTAGTTTACGTACTGTTATTATAAGCATGGGCTTAATGTACTGAATGACATTTCACTTATAAAATTCAATGCTGAGAAAAATATCAGGTTTTTCAGAGAAAGGCAGAGATAGAGAAACAACAGTAGATCAAAGTTTCCCTTTATTTTAGGTGTATAAATAAACATGACCTGTAAGCTGGTCCTCAGTGAAGTTCAGCCAGCTTTAAGTTTCACTTTGTAGAAATGCGGTGCAAATTTTGTCTACTCTTTATGATCTGATTAAGAAAATGAGTAAAACCTAGAGAGAATGTGCAGAACACTGTAACTAAGAGCTGTGATTTTTTTTTAAGTCTTAGTGTAAAATCACATTCATTTTTCATCTCGTTGTGTTTCCATTTTGCAGCCTACGTTTCCAGTAGGTCCAACAATAGGAACGAACGCAGCTATTAGTTTTGCTCCTTATATAACACCAGTAACAACTGGAGTTGGGTTAGTTCCTACTGAAATCCTACCCACACCACCTGTAATTGTTCCTGGAAGTCCACCTGTCTCAGTCCCTGGTTCAACTGCTACTCAGAAACTCCTCAGGACTGATAAACTGGAGGTACTACAAACAGCATTGTGATTGGAAATGCAATTTTCTGCTATTTTTATATGTAAGAGCTTTGAAAAAGATTAATTGCTTTTAGAGCTGTTTTCAGCCAAAAAACTAAACTGCGGTTATTGCAAATGCAGGATATGAACTTGCATTTAGTGGAAATGGTACTATCATTTTTGTGTATTTTAAATAAAATTAAGTCAACATGTTATAAAATTGACTATTCAGACTTAATTTGTCTAATAAACATAGAAAGTAACACATATTTGTTAATTTTTTTAAATGCCTCTTAATCTTTGTGAATTTCTTTACAGAGAAATTAACAGGCACATAAGATTTATACCCATAATATCATGTGCACTACTTTACAAAGTTTTAATCTGATAAGGAAATATCTGTAGGTTCTAAAGGCCAATTTGTCTCTAGTATTAACTCAGCCTTAAGAAACTGCACTCTGTAAAATTCTAAAATAGAAATTGTGTAGTTGACCACAAATGGGCAAACTCTGCACATATGCATTGAAGTCGGAAAGGTTCTACATGTGCTTGTGGCTATTTCCATGTTCAGTCAGTTTAGAGCGCTGGGATCTTAGAAGTCTACGATCTGTATTTCAGGTTCAGATAACTAGTAAAATGGCCCCAGCAGGGAGGTCCTTCCCTGAAAATGGAAACTTAAATATTCAGGTTAAAAAAAATCAGATCTGTCTCAATGAATTGATTTTTGGTTTTGCTTTTTAAAGAACAGAAGTGTTAGTTTTGCTTTATGGTCCTGCAGAACACAGTAAGATTGATCCCAAATCTTCTCTATGGTATATAAGAGCAGGGCTTAACAACATGTTCCAGTGGCGGGCCCGAATGTCCCAGGTCAGATCAAAGGCTGGCTGGTAGGAGCAGCTGCTACCACTCCTACCTCCACCCCCACTTCTCACTGGCAGCATACACACATTCAAATAATCTGTGAGAATTATCTCAGGTTGGTTCTCCTAGTCTGGGTTCTACCCAGAGCTGTGTGTGGCTCTGAGAATGGAGATCTTGTAGTGCTGACACTGTGCAGCCAGGTCTCTGCACACATCTCAGCATGAAATGCTGGCTCCCTTAGTCTGCCAGACAACAGATGGCAGCAGTGAATAAGGCAGCCCTGATTGGCTGACCCAGACTACCCATGATCAGCCTGTTTATTCCCAGGTTATTTTTCTCCTAGAGTGGTCATTTTTACTTTGTGAGAAAAAACCTGAACGCCTATACACACACGATTTCTACTGGGAGAGCAATGACTCTCCTAGGAAAAACAGAATGTCTGTATGAGGTCACCGTCACCAAACTGCCTGGCTGCAGCGCAACACAGTGCGTTGGGTGCAAAGCCTTCCACTGCCCTAAGTTGCCATTCCCTCTATTAGAGGAACACTTCTTCTGTCAATACAATCAGACTGATGCAAACAAGACCAGAACGGAACCAGATATTTTATGCTTCTTAATCGGCTTCTCTGGAGCAAATAATTAATAACACTACTCCCCAGGGGTTTAATGTTGGGAAGCAAGCAGAGAGGTTTGGGGATGACTTGGTTCTTTGTGCATTCAATTTATATTATGAGGTGACACAGCTGTAATTTCAATACCAATAAAAGCAAGCAAACATTTTAAAAACATAAGCTAAAAACTGGTTAGGTCCCACCACCCCAGGAATTTTAAATGGTTACAAAGAGAATGTGAAAAACAGAGTGGAAATCACAGTAAAATAGAGCTGTATAGGTTTTTATATATATATATATATATATATATACTAGCAACAGTTATCAGGCATCCACTATCAGTAATAAGTATTGTTTTGCACATAGGTATGCAGGGAGTTCCAGCGAGGAAACTGTGCGCGCGGAGAGACTGATTGCCGCTTTGCACATCCTGCAGACAGCACAATGATTGACACAAATGACAACACTGTAACCGTTTGTATGGATTATATAAAAGGTCGTTGCATGAGGGAGAAATGCAAATATTTTCACCCTCCTGCACATTTGCAGGCCAAAATCAAAGCTGCTCAACACCAAGCCAACCAGGCTGCAGTGGCAGCTCAAGCTGCTGCTGCAGCTGCTACAGTGATGGTAAGTGCTAGAATATATGGCTGATTTTTTCATAAACTTCTTAATTGTGGTTTGACGTCAAGCAGTAGCATTTTTTAGGAGGCTGTTAAATTTTACATTCTTCATAAAAGTTGAGAAATTATAAAATTATTACTATTGCTTTAGGGAAATGAAAAAATTACCTTTTGTTTTTCCCTCAATAATTTCAGAACAATAGTTATGTCCTTTGAGTACAGTGAAGCAGTTAGACAGTTTCTGCTGCCTTTCCTCTCTCTCTCTCTCTCAATTATATGCTAAATTTGCTTCCTAATATTTCTTGATGAAACATAAAACTGGTGAAATTGAAGTGGTCCATGGAAAATATGTAAACCTGTGCTGTGTTAGCTCCTTGCTGGCAGAAACACAATGTGAAAATTAGGAAATGAGAATTAAAGAAAAAATGATTTTGTGCCTAAAGTGTAGGCCATAGATAAGAGATCTGGGCTTTTTTTTTCTTCTCAGTTTCCCCACTGACTTTAGTGTCCTGGGCACTGTGCCTCAGTTTCTCCATTAGTAAAATGAGAATAGTGAGATTTCATTCATTAGTTTTTTTCAGACATTGAGAGACTATTCTGTGAATGCTATGATAAAACTTATATAGAAAATCACATCAAGTAAGGTTTTTTTTTAAAAGTTGTTTTCAGGGGCTTCAAGCGTCTTTGTTTTAAAATATGGCTGACACTTGCTAGCAAAAATTCCACATCAGTATTGAAAGAAGTGAATAAATAAAGCATGCAGGATTTTATTCTGGGGACAGAAGTACAGTCAGTACAGATCAAAGAAGCATTGTCCTAACTCCTGGCACTGAAAGAATAATGACACAGATGTGACTTGTGGATAGTGCATACAACAGTTATAGACAATACAGTTACTCTGAGAATAAGAAACCTACCAAAAACAAGTACACTACAGTATATAACTATCACAGGCTATTGTATCTCAGAAATAAATAGAGACCAGACGTTCCAGGGACAAGGAGTGAGTTTCTTTCAAATATGACTACTGAAAGAATTAAGACTTCCAAACACAAGAAAACAGCAGAAGACAATTTCCTTCAAATTAGTATTTTCTCTTGCCATATGAAAATGTTAGTTAAATCTGGAGATTGACCTGGAATTAAAAAGGCATGAGATTTTTGCAGTAGTACTTCTCCAATGTGCAAAATTCATCTTGCATTTAGAAAAAGTAATAAGATAAGCAAAAGCATATTTTTTCCTGAATCTAAGGAATCATAGGATACGTTTTCTGTGATTCAAATACGCCATATTAGAAATTTTGAGATCCTAAGATTCAGGACTACGTGGAGAATCTTTAGAAACACAGGATTGAATTACTAGCATTCCACTACCATGGGAGAAGGCAGAGGCCATGTAACTGAGAGGCTGTGTATATCCCTTCCACAGAAAATTATATTCATGAGCTTTAATCGGATATTTAGGTTCCCCAGAGTAACAGTACAGGCAAAAAAAAAAAAAAGCATTCTTCATCACAGTCGTTTTTATTTAATACAAATCTAGAACAAAGCAACCCGTCAGGTAGAATAAATGGGATCATATCTCCACTGACACAATATAGGGAATGACAAAGAAAAGCAATAGCTAATGTATTCTAAATAAGAAGAGCCCCAAAATATTCAAGGAAATTGTTCAGAAGTAGCCACTGGAAATCTCTGGTTGTTCTTCTTTGTAAAAGACAAAGATCTTTAACCAAACACGTTCTGCTTCCAGACTGATTCTCAACTTGAAATTATGACTTGAGAAGTGAAAATTGTGAATATTATAGTGGTTGGGCAGGAATACAGGTCAAAGCCCCCCTCTACACATGCAGGTAAAGACATGATGGGATCTAATGCACAATCCACACAGTTCCACTTCCTGCCATGCTACATATGAATGGCAGGAGGTGTGATTGTGTGATAGTGCATTAGATCCCATGACATCCTATTGCATATATCAGCAAGAAGCAGGCTTACATGTCTGAAAGCTGCCTCTGCTGACAGAGCTCCCACCCACAGGGACCACATGCAGCTAGTACCGTCATGCAGCTGACAGGACTCTCAATCCTGGCTGTGCCCCACCTGCAGATGGCGCTGAAAGTCCCTGCAGCTGACAGGTCTTTTCATCCCAGCTATGCCACATGTAGCTGGCACCAAGAGTCCTCATACCTGGCGGGCCTCTTGGCCCCAGCTCCATGTTTGGTACAGCTGGAGACCCGTCAGCTGCTGGACTTTCAGTCCCAGCAGCTACGGAGGAAGCACGGATGCGTGTGGTGCCCTTCAGCTGGGAGACCACAGCAGCTGCACTCTTCTAGTTGTGGGGTCCATGGAGCAATAGTTGGGAGATCACAGCAGCTTCAATCTCCCAGCCACTGCCTGGAGAACCCTGCAGCTGAGGGATCTCAGTGGCTGCAGTCTCCCAGCCGCAGGTATGTGTTGAGCACCCCAGCAGCTGGAAGATCACAACAGCTGTGCTCTCCCAGCCGCAGACTGCCTACACATGCAAATCAAAGCCAGATAGAAACCAGCTATACAGTTATTACACATTTTCAAGCAATAACTTTATAGATGTTTGAACCTTTTTAAGGTGCATAGTTCATAGAGTCATAGACTTTAGGGCTGGAAGGGACCTTGGAAGATCATCGAGTCCAGCCCCCTGCCCAAAGGGCAGGAAGTCAGCAGGGGTCATAGGATCCCAGCAAGATAGACATCCAAATGTCTGTTGAAGGCGTTCAAAGTAGGTGCTTGAACCACCTCCGGTGGCAGACTATTCCAAACCTTGGGGGCTCGGACAGTAAAGAAGTTCTTCCTTATGTCCAGCCTGAAACGATCACAGAGGAGTTTGTGACCGTTCAATCATGTCGTCCTTTGGGGCGCTCTGGTGAACAGATGTTCCTCCAGTTCCTGATGAGCATCCCTGATAAACTTATAGCTGACCACCGGATCACTGCTGAGCCTGCTTTTCCAGGCTGAAGAGTCCCATGGCTCTCAGCCTCTTATTGTAAGGTCTGTTTTCCTGACCTCTGATCATGCATGTGGCTCTCCTCTGGACTCTCTCAAGCTTCTCCACATCTAAATTTATTGCACAATTAAGGTAACTGCATAATAGATACAACATATAGAGGAGTCCAAAGAATCTCAGGTCCTTGAGGCTTAGATCACTCAAGGCCTCCTATTATTACTAAAGGAATGGATTATTTTGCAAACTTCACTTTTCATAAATGTTCAAATACAATGTACTTTTTTTTTCTTTTGCTGTAGAACACGCCTGAAAGTACATCTTCAGCAGTGTTGGTCCTTTTCTAACTTCTCAAAGCTCTTATCAACCAGCTCTCAGGCACATTTTGCAGTAGCTTAAAAACTGCAGTTCCTTAATTATACTGTGTGGATCACTGATGGTTTATGCAGTAACTTCATTTCCTTGTCTTCTCATTTCTGTGTCCCCAATTGTCATAGTTGCCAGAAGGAAACAACTGTAATTGTGACAGGAAGGAAGTTATCTAGTGAATTCCATCGACTGAGATGTAGTTCACGTTATTTAGGATGGAGGTTAGCAACCTACAACCTCCAGACAAAATCTGTCTCAGAGCCATTTTAATCCAGTCCATAGAGATGGGAGGCTTCACTGATGTTTTGTTGGAGGCTGGAGGGGAGACTTAAGCAGTGTTTCAGCAGTGGGGTGGTTTCTCTGGGCAGCAGGGAGCACCTGTGACAGCAGCACTGCACGGGGAGACTTCTAGCTGCAGCTGCAGTGGCACAGGCCTGGTTGGAAGCAACTCAGGCTTGGAGCTAAGCTCCATCAAAGCTTAGCCCTACTCCAAAATGTTGGAAAACCTCTGTGTAAGGACATTGCTTGTGGCCTCTCAAAAAAACAAACTAAAAACCTTACATTTATAGGCTTGTGTAAACAGAGAAGTCTTGACCAAAATGCATGCCTCAAGAACAAGGAAAGAGATCCCCCCTGGGTAAATGTATGTTACCGTGCAGTAGCACATAGGAGCTGGAAAAATCCCATGGTTTGACTGAAGAGAATTTCTTTGGCACAGGCAGTGAATAGGACATTAGTGTTTGGTAGGTAATCACTGTCAGGTCTAGTGAAAGAAAGGTGTTTGATAGAAAGGTTAAAATATTGAAAGGAAAATTGGTTGGTGAACAAGGCTCTAAAAAGAGTTTTGAGAGTTGAGGAGAAATTGAAAAGACGTATGAAGATAGGGAGGAAGGGTAGATCCAAACTGAAGCCTTGGGAAAGTTGGGAGGGGTGGCTTTAAAGAAGCAAAAGCTGACTCCTAGAGAAAGAGATAGTGTTAATAGAGGGAGCCTTAAAATTGAGGACTAGGAAGCGGAAGGAAGGGAAGGACTAACAAAGATTAGAAAACAGAAGTTTACAATGGAACAAGCAAATTGAGGCCTGTGTAGAACAGACATGTGTCTGAGTTGAGAGGGAAGGAAGAGGGCAGAGGTGAAGATACGGGAGTCATAAAGATAGTTGATGACCCTGTGAAAGTGGGTGAGATCTGTATCTGGATGATGATAGTAATGGGGAGAGTACCTTCAACTCTCACACTCAAATGGAAATTTGGGCCTTATCACTTCAGAGAATTAAATCCAGCCTTTATGCTTCACATTTGAATATATCTTCCTCCATAATGGTCTCAGAGTAATTTTACAAAGGTGCATGGGCACTGTTAGACATTTTACAGAGGGGAGAGTTGAGGGAGTGATCAGCATTGTTGGACATACTGAGGTTGATGAAAACAGACAGAAGTCGCTTAGGCAGGTCATGAATGACCTTAGAAAGAACAGATACCACAGAGCAGAAGAATGAGCTAAAGGAGAGAATAAGTCAGTAGGAAGTCTTAATGCATTTGCAAGTGAAAGCGGCATATGAGGTGATAATTGGAAAAACAGAAAATGAAATTGGGAAAGGTGTTTTTAAGAAGCAATAGCTATCTTGCAAATTATTCATGTTGTCATTGACCAGTTCTGTGAAGGTACTTTGTTTTATGCATGGTGCATCAGTGGTTCTCAACTAGAGTATTGCAGCACCCTTGGGTACCACAAGGCCCCCACAAGGGGTGCCACGGCAGCAGCAGCCAAGTAAAATTGCCTCTTACACTACTTCTGCATTAGGTCTCTCTGATCAGCCTAAAGCAGGCAGAAAAGCTGCCTTGTATTGTGTAGCCCTTCCTGGTCTAGAACCCCATATATTCCTCCCAGAAATAGAGGCATGGGTGAAACTGTCCTGCCCATGTCTGTTTCTAGGAGGAGCATGGGGGAGATGGACCAGGAAGGGCAACATAGTAGGAGTCAGCTCTACTGTCTCCTTTAGGTTTATTAGAGAGCCCTAATGCAGAAGAACATGCATGTGGTATGGCCTTTCTTGGGCTGGTAGTACTGTAGGCCTGTGGGGTAGTTTCATCTGGAGGTAGCAGAACCTGGCTGAGAAGCACTAAGGGAAGATGAGGCAGTGCCAACAGTGGTTCTCAGCCAGGGGGACTGCCACATTCAAAATAATTGTGGTGGATGCCATGACCTGGGTAAGGTTGAGAACCACTGTAGTACTTGCTCAATACTTTGTCCTCCTTTTTCATTTTTATTGGATGCAGGGAATGTCCAAGATGGAGACAGGGTGAATATTAAGTTATCGTGTAGACATTGGCAAGCTAACTATCATCATGAGTGCAAAAATGGATTTGATTTATGAGCAAACCTTCCTCTCCATATGTTTTCTTGAAGCCTAATTTAAATCACAAAACATTTAATTTAAAGTTAAACTAAATTTTCTGTCAGAATAGTATCAAATTGGCCCTTGTTTAATTTTATGCAAATTAAGTTATTTAAATATTACTTGTTTTGCTTAAGTAAATTAAGTTACATTTAAATATTTGAAGAATTACTGCCATGATTCCTGTTCTAATTACCGGCTGTGTTCCCTTATTGACAAGTACTATTTTCTATCATTACCTAGTTTTGAAGTTAGTATTAAAATTGATCAGAAAACTTAGTGTTCCTTTAAAAAGGGCTTTTTCTCAATGTAATGTGGTAAGTTAAAAGCAGATGTCTTCTTTATGGTTCCAGCTGCAGTAAAATACAAGGAATTGATGATAAGTTAGTGATTAGACTTAACATTCATTAACCCTGTATTTGAAAAAGAAAAACTCTTTGTACTTGATCCCAAAGTCTATTGAAATGTACATTTTAATAATTAAGACATAAATCCTGCAAATGCTTACACAGGTCAGTAGTCCTATTAAAGTATTAAATTCTCACTATTGCTTTGTATTTAAAATTTTAGTATTGACAAAATTATTTATGCTTTTTAATCTGATGTAACTAACTTATCAGAAATCCTTGTAAAAAATCCTTAAAACGTATGCATTTCTGTGAAGTTATAAAATGCTTAGTAGTGTCTGCAAGCTGCTATTTTACTTAACTTTCCTGAATTTCAAACATCTATATTTTACTCTCTTATATGCTTTTAACTAAGGTATAGTAGATGCATTTTTGCTTCAGTACTAATTCAAGGTGTAATATTCATTTCTTTAGAAAACATTTTTGTTGTTGTGCATGCCTAGTGTTTTGTATGTTGTATATTGCATTCAGAATATTTTTTTCCTTCTCACCTATCCACAATGCAATGCCGTTCCCATGATGCACCTCTGCTTGCTGTTTACCTGTATGTTAATTCGCTTGACTCCCATTGGCCCACTGCCATCATGTGCTCGCTGCCTGTTATTAAAAGACTCAGTCGACTGCCAAAGCAATGAAGCGACCTCTCGAAGCAACTGTAGACCTGGTACTTTGACCTTTCACCTTTTGCTTTGCATGTAGCTTTTCAGAGAAGCAACTAATGAAATTTTTATTGCTTTTTTTAAAACATCAATTGAAAAATATATTATTAATTTACAGAAAATTCAGTACTGTATTTATCCATCTCATTCCATACATAATAAATGCAAACAATTTAGTTTTTTCCTAACATGGTTTCATTTAAAAATACCTTATCATGAAGTTGAAATGAGATAAAACTGCTTTTGTAATAAAAATGCGTAACATAATTCATTATTGCATTTAATAATTGGAAAATTATTTAGCTAAAAGAAATACTTGGCAATGAAACACAAGTGGTTTTTTCTCCCTAGAATTTTTTAAACCCTGTTTAAAGGAAATACTGTTTTTGTTGCTTTAAAGGCCTTTCTTTTCAGTAGTTGTGATGCTACAGTTTTAGGTTAATAGTACCATGCTTTTGCTATCAATAACAAAATACCACTCATTTTACATTGCAATGCTTTGGGTTAAGGTGCATGGCAAGGCATCTGTAACTGCTTTTTTAAAAAGTATATTACATAATTTTATTGAACTGTACATGAAAAAAAGATATGTCTTTAAAATACTTCAAATTCAATTGAATTCCTTATTTGCAGGCCTTTCCTCCCAGTGTTCTTCATCCATTACCAAAGAGACAAGCACTTGAAAAAAACAATGGTGCCAGTGCCGTTTTTAATCCCAGTGTCTTGCACTATCAACAGGCGCTTGCCAATGCACAGTTGCAGCAACACGCAGCATTTATTCCAACAGGTATGTTGCATTTGCACTTAAAAAGAGTCTTCTTTTGATGTTCTCCACATAACATAGTTCCTATCACTTGTACACGCTGTTTTATCACACTTAGTATACTTTAATGTGTCTTCTGCTCCTTATCCCACTCAGGATACAGTGTTCACAGATATTGACAGTAAATGATATACAGAATATTAGGATTCACAAGGTAATTTTACCATGACACGAGATTAGTATTTTTCTTATATTCAATTGTTGTCCCTATTTTATATGTACAGCATAGTACTTCTCATCTGTATTAAATCAGTTGCATTTTAGCTCTGTCAACCAGAGATGTGCTGCAGTGGGCGGGGAGGAGGAACATCATAAAAACCATGGAATGGAGGCATAATTTCAGAAATGCTTCAGGAACAACACTAAGATTCCCTGCTCTCTGGGCATATCTTGTATTTCCACTTTTACTGCATTACACCACTTTCCCCCTCCTAAACTAGAATGGTAAACTTCTGCATGGGAGCATGATGGGATTATAATGCACTTTATATCTGCATTGAACAATTCTGTAATCAGGTTTTTTTTTTCCATTTTCTTTGTCACTTAATTTTGTGACCCAAAACTCCCCCATATTTTGTGACTAATACTTGTTGCTGGAATTCTTGTAAGTGTTTCAGCTATAGTGGAATAGTAGCAGTATAACAACTACTGTTGTTCAAAACTCAAGAAAACTAGACCATCCATCCATAGTGCACCATGCCTAACATCCTGAACTCAAACAGGTGGTGTCGATACCTCTTTTTACCCCTTTTAAAGAAGAAGGAATATACAACTTTGTTGTACACCTTGGGATAAATTGAACCAATGCAATACAGTTCTCTAAGTTATGGGAAAAGAGAAGTATCTAATGGTAAAATACATAGTACAGTGCATTAAAGAACATAATTCCAGTTTGTTTTCAACTCTGAATTTTCAGGATGATTTAAAACATTTCAGTTTTTCCTTCAGTAAATGCATTTTATATTTTTGAATGCATTCATTAACCTTTTATCATGTTCTTTAAGTATATAGCAATAATCTTGAATTAAACGAGAGAGAGAATTCATGATTTGCCAATTTCTTGTTATAGAGTGTAATTCACAATATATATCTTTTTTTAAAATAAAAGCAAAAATCACATGGACTTCAGTGGAAATTTGCCTGTGCTCAGAACTGAATAAAAACATGGTAAAAACTTTAGAATCTGGCCCTGCATTTGAAAAAAAAAAAAAAAAAAAGAAGCAGCTTATAAAGATATTTATTTTATGCAAATATTTTAGTATATTGCCCCACTTGAATCTTGCAAAGAGCTTCCAAAATCTTGTGCCGTTTCTACTAAGATACATGAATATTTTGCACCTTGCAAGTATAGTAGAAGATGTGCTGATTTTTGTGTCAAAGTTTGAAGGAATTGGCAAGCCTGCCTAATTATTGAGAAATAAATGCTGGACTATCCAGTTCTAAGAAGTGTCCGAGAGTCTCAGCAAATTTACTGAAAACCACAACCATAAGACCTTGTGGTGAGATGTTCATTGTTCCTCCTCTTAGGAACTGACTTTCAGAGCTTATCACCACTGTATATAATTACCATAGGACTTAAAATAACCTTGGAAAATACAGTAATTTAAAAATGCTTCAGTGAAATAGCACTTGGATATTTTCCAAATTAAAATGCTTGTTTCCTTAAGCAGCTTATTTCACGTGCTGTTTCTCTTCAGTTCCTGTTTTTGGCTAATACACGGTTTGTTATAAAAATAGCTCATAATTAAGTGACAGATTTCTTATTTTAAGTTCATGATGTAAGGGATGTGGGTCTTTTTGCCAAACTCTAAGGGCCAGATTGTTGTCCAGTCCCAATACAGATGCACAAAAAAGGAAGACGTACATGGAGTCTTTCATCTGCAGTCATAGTACATCAGGCCAGGCAAAATGGGAGACCTTGCTCACAGGGAACATGACAAATCAACCCATCCAGCATCACTGACATTTCTGGGGTGGAGAGAAGGGGACAGGAATAATGAAGTAAGCCAGGGAACATCTTTGCAATTAGTCAGTAGAACAACCTTTCGTGGGATTTGGGGCATATTGCATCTGTGATTATTACACTCCCTGTAGAGTCCAGGAGGAACTGTGCCTTCTTGAATTTGCTGGGCCTAAATTCATCCACACCATCCCTGTATGAAGAGCTGTACACATGTTGATTTGAAATGATAATCCAACATATTCTGAAACAGTGTAATTTCTAAATGTGTGTTAGAAAAGTTAAATCTAAGACCAGGTTTTGTTGATTGAATATGTGGAACACTGATAAATTGTCTTGTAAAACTCCTCTGCCTTTCCTAATCAATGACTCGCTAATAAAAGGTGCGGGGCTTGATTTAGCACAGTTTATCTCCAGTTTTTTGCACTTTAGCTCTGTAAATCAGTATGATTACCATCACCACTTCTTATTCTTTGGTGAGTGATCTTAAAAGGCACAGAATTTTTTTTCTTCAAAAGATGTGTAGTAGAACTTTTGTGAGGACTAGAAGAGGAAAGTTATATTTCTTTTGGAATTATTCTTCATGGTAAGGTCATTCATAGTTACTCATTTGTCATTTATGAAAAATAAACAAAACGTTGGGATGATCAGACTTTGGCAAACTTAATCTGCCCTATGTGCTCTACATGCAGTAACTGCCTAATGTTTTGTGTACATGATACTTTGTTTCTATTCCTCTCTACTCCTCATGCTCCCCTGTACGCATTGTGAACTTGCCAAAAAGGCCTATGGGAAGGTTGGCTTTTGTTTGTTGGGGGGTTTTTCACTAGGCTTTGCAGAAAGGATATAAGTGGAATGGCACAAAGGCTAAACTGAGTTCTAGAAACAGTCCTTCCATAGCACAGTTGAGGCACATTGCAGGGGAATTTGGCACATTCTTCGGCTATGTTCAGTTCCCAATTCCATTATTGCAATATTTTTGCTAGTAAAAATAACATCCAAAGTTACTCTAACTTTTATAAATGTGCACATTAAAATTAAACCTAAACTTATTAATATCTCCAAATAATATTAATGGGAAAAGTATATTTAACTTACGTTTTTTCTCTGCTGTGTATGAGAAAAAATAATAACCATTGGACTGTATAGCCAGCATAATTCTGGTTTTCACTGTGCAGTAGACTTAAGCAGCCATTACATAATGCAATATTTGATCAGGACTAAAAATACTGTTGCAAATAATATTAAGTGAAAGAAGTTTATGAAACATAGTCTCATATATGCACATAGAAACATACAAGATGTTTGTATGGTAACTAATAGTATTTTAACAAAAAATTATTTCAGTTCACTATGTAAACAAAACTATGAATGACCTTAATGTTCGGTTTAACTAACTAACTTATCCTTGGGTATGCTTGAATCTCACTTGGAATGTTAACTCTAAACAGCTAACCTGTTTCTTCCCTTTATTCACTTTTTCCACCTATCATTGCATGACACACAGGGTCAGTTTTGTGCATGACACCCGCTACCAGTATTGGTAGGTTCCAAATTTCTTTATTGATCTCTTTTATACTGTGTTCTGTATCTTCAGCTATTTGGAAAATCTTAAACATGACTTAGACAAGTACTTGATTTAAAGGTTTATTTGTCCTTTTGGTTGAGTTTGTAGGATTTTAGATTTATTTGTAGATGAAATTTGCTGTTTAGATAGATATGACATCACCTGCTATAAAAACTACACTGCAAAAGCATAAAATCATAAATTCAAATCTGCTTTTCAGTTTTTAAGAATTTTATTTATATATTTTATATTATCTAGTATTATAAATTTTGGAAAAGCAAGCTAATTTCATCAATGTTTTAAAGTTTCATAGTAGTGTGCCTATTTCTCCTTTTTGCTGTGTGTTAGAAAGTTTTATCAGAGTTTCCCAGAAACACACTTAATACTGGTATATAGCGTTGATCAAGTGACCTAGGTTCTGAATCACGTTCTCTCTCAGTTATATTTTTGTGATGAAAATTAGGGTGTGTTAGCACAGACCCCAATTCACATGAATAACCCTTACTCAAGGTGATAGTCTCTTTGATTCTAATGAGGTGACTCAAGTGAGTTTTTGCTACTCCTGTGAGGGTTTTTCAAGAGTAGTCTTTAAAGAATATCAAATTAATAGTCTCCGATGCACACATTACTACATTTATCCTTAAAACAGTAGAAAAATAAATTACCACAGAATCTGCTTTGCTCTTTTAGATCAAACAAATTAGTATTTAAATCAGGAAAATTATTTTAGTGCCACTGAGTTTTGCCTGAAAGCAGATGGTAATTTAACTCAGATAAAATTAGTTGTTCAGGGCTAATGAAACATACATCTAGAAACAAAAATGGTATGTGTAGAGCAAGGTTGAAAATACACATTTAACCTGTAATAGCGGTAAATGCAATTAATTAGTTTTTCTAATTCATATAAAATAAATTATTTTTTCCCTTCTAATATGAAATGAAAGAGCCGGCTTTTTAAAATCTTCCATGGGATAGTGGTGATAAAGATATTTTTTAATAGTGTTTTAGCAAATTGAACAATTTTATTTAACAAAATAGGCTATTTTGGTTGATACCTCCCACCTTGTCAAATTATTAAATATAACACCAGTAGTAATCACTTATTTTGTTTTTTTCTGGGAATCACTGATTATGTTGACAAACTTCCTTTAATTGTACTTGTAATAAGCTATTTTCCCTTTTTTATTTCTCTGCCACGCTTTCTTGCTTTGCATTGTGATTGCATGCCATCTGCTGGTTTAACCCATGATGGCTTGCTGCTCTGATATTCACCATGCCAAAATACCACTTCTATTACCATAATGCTACACCCTCCTGTTCATTGCTTCCATGGTTCCCCTCCTGAAAGTACCCATGATGCACAGCGCTACGTCCGCCACTGTCTCTGCAGCAACAACTCCTGCAACAAGTGTCCCCTTCGCCGCAACAGCCACAGCCAATCAGGTTTGCTCCTTTTAAAGCTTTCTTTCACAAATCCCAAACTCTAAATGAGTGCTGATATTTTTTTTTTTTTTTAAATTCTCCTGGAGAATTTTTTTTCATGTTTACCCATCAAATTTTATTTTTAAGTAGTTTATAGCAAGTGTTTATGGACAGGTTGCACTTATTTAGAGTTAACATTTATTGCAAATAATGATGTAGCTATGTTTTGTGTTGCACTGTTTGTATCTAATATTGTGTAATTAACCCACTGAGTTAAAATCATTTCAGTAGTGGACTAAATATAAAGGTTTTTTTATTAACTTCTGTTTTCAAAAAGAAAAAATCCTTAAAAGCAGGTTCAGATGTTTGTGCTTGTTAATGTATATTTTTCTCCATAATTCATGTTAGTGACTAACTCATTGTGTTCAATAAAAGTGACTGAAATCATGCATGGATAAATTCAGCTGAAAAAAAAGCTTATAAAAAAAGAGAAAATAACTATTTCTAAAAGGATCAGCAAATGACTCAGATTTGTACTGTGAACATTCTCATCGAAGACTGTATTCCTTTTTCCACGCTATATTTAAAAGGATGCCATCAAATACAAAACAGCATTTCCCCCTGAAAATATGTATCAAATGCAGTTATAAGCAATCCCTAGTTTTACTAAAAGAGAAAAAAAAAGAGGGAAAATATTTCTATTTTTTTCCCCATTGGTCTTTAGGTGTTAGATTCAGGAATACCAAAGGTGAATGTGGGTCTGTTGCTGCTCCCAGCATGTGAACTGGGCATTGTATCTCAAACTGTAGAGACTGTTTTAATAACTACAGATCCCCAGTTCAGGTCCTGTTGTGGCAGCCACAATGGAGGCCATTACACCATTTTGTGCTTTTGTCACTTTTACAGTATTATTAATGTGAGAGCTTGCATGCATATTCTTCCCCAGGCTTGGCAAGAGAGTGTTTACCAGTAACAGCAGCAATGAAAGTAAAACTTTCCTCCTGAAGAGGAAATGGGCAAAGGGAAAGTAAAGGTTTGCTTGTCCTGAGCATGCTTCATTTTAGCCTTACCAAGTTACCTTTATAAATCTAACGGAGAAGCAGAAGCACAACCAGATTTTATTTGTTTAAAAACGGAATTTTAAAAAAATGATCAGAATCTGTTCTTTAAAGGTGTTCTACCAGAAAACGAAAATGAAAAAAATTACTCAATTTCAAAACAATTGAAGTCTGACAACATCAAAATAATAAAAAAGTTGCTATGACAACTAACATATAATATTCTATGGCAAGTATACTATCTCTGAAATACGTGTTTTCTTAAAGAAACAGAAAACTATATGGATTCTTCCTTGCTTTTTAGAAAGGATCAAAGTTTCCAGAATAGTGCTGCTTATGCCTTTTGTTCTGCATAGCATCAGTTTGCATATTCCTTTCTGAAATTTAAGGGTTTTTTTTAAGTGAGAGAAACATTGATATTTGTGTTGTAAGCTAATGTAACAATCAAATCATGCATATAAAATTCAGGTCTTTTTTCTAACATTCTCAATTCTGTTTGGAGGTTTGGTAATAGAGTGAATAACGTTGCAACAGAAGTTGGTTTAAAAGTGTCTAGTGATTTCCATAGGGACTTCTTCCACCTGAGTAATTTAACACAGGGCTGTCCAACTGATTGTCCACAGGCCATATGTCACCCAAGAGCAGTTAACATACAGCCTGTGGACTCCTACACCTGTCTCTCCCACTGCTGTGAGGCATGAGAGAGTCCAGGGGAGACAAGGGTCCACATGCCACTGGCACTGCTTTTGGGGTGGGAAGAGAGATCACAGCTGGGGGGCTGTACCTGCTACATATAGTCCATGTGGTATACATTCTGGGGGCTGCATGACATCACCACGTGCAGGCCCTGGCTGTTACCATAAACCCGGTACCATTCAGTCTTTTGAGAGACAGGCCTACAGTCCATCATCAGGATGTTTTTGCATGCTTAGGCACAGGATTCAGGGACAGTTACAGTTCCCTTACTGATTACCCTTTTTGGGTAATCAGTAAATCAAAAGGCAAATCAAAAGGCAAATCAAAATACAGTCACACTTCCGATTGATCCTTGATTCCCTCTTAGCAGGTAAGGTATTATAAAGACCCAAGTCAGAAAAAGAGATGAGACAAGTCTATAACCCAGCCTTTTATTGATTACACCCTAGAGTAAATAATAAGCACATGTTACCTGCAACAGCACAATGCAGATTCTCACCTATACCAGGTGGGGGAGACACAGGAGGGAAAAGGAAGGTGGTTTGCAGGTTGGCAGCAGGTTGTCTTGAATTTGCTGAGTCTTCCCAACATTTCACCCTGTTTACATCCAAATGTGGCTTATTTCAATCGGTATTCTGATTGGAGTTATTCAGATTTCTTTGATTCACCAAGACTTTGGGAACTGGACTGAACAAGCTTTTATGTGGACTTGGAAGGTGCCAATTAGCTGAGGCCTTTCTCTTTGTGAAAGGTACAGTTCTGGGTGACAGGACTTCTTACCTCTTTTCCTTACCATCTGATAATGCTATTTACATTGTTCTTTTTCTTTTTCTGTATATAAATCAAAAATAAGATTGTTTTCCCCAATCAGCATGAGGCAGGGGGAAGATAAAGCTACATCTTGGATTTGAGTACCAAGCCAGAGCAGGTAGCTGCTCAGTTCTGTCTTCAACCCTGGGCTCAAGGCTGAAGCCAGAGCTGAACCGGCAACTGCCCTGGCCAGAATGGCTCATTTGGCAGGGAAGGGGACATGTACCTAGGGGGAGCACAGGGGATACCACAGGGTAGGGGTAGACCTGCAGTCTTCCCCGCACCATGCCGGTGCCTGCTTCCCACCCCCAGCTGTCTCCCTCTGCTAACCTTCTGCTGTGCTCCAACCCCAGCCTGGTCTGGCCTGAGCTGCCACCACTTCTCCCTTGCTGGGTTAGGCTGGGGCCAGGCTGAAGCCATGCCTCAGAGGAGCAGAGCTGTAACAGAAGGTGGGCAAGGAATCAAGGGGCAGGCACGGGAGAGTAGGGGGTAAGGCTGCAATGGGGTGCAAGGGATTGGGGAGGCAAGCATGAGGAGCAAGAGGCAGGGAGCAAGCATAGACATGGAGGGGCAGGCAGCAGGTGGGCATGTGGCAGAGGGTGCATGGTGCAAAGGCAGTAGCAGAGGCAGGCAAAGTGAGATAAGGGGAAGAGGTTTGGCCTCTCACTCCCCACCACTGCTTCCCCGGCCACAGCAGTCAGGGGAGACAAGTATAAGATGTCCGTCCATTAGCTAGATTCTATATGTAGAAAATTGTAACTAATTTATAAATTTCCATGTATAAAATCTAATTGTTGGAAGAGTTGTCTTAAATTTGAAGTTGTCTTGGATTTAAGTAAAAATGGTACTTTACTGACTAGGCCAGTTGAAACATCTGCAAAGGTTCACTCTGAAACAGGCTTTTTGGCCGGCTTTAGCCACATTCCTGGAATTTAGCATAAGTCCCTTGAAAGTGGCTAAGGCTGACAACAGGTTAACAAAGCCACATTATTATTCCAATAGGATCAAAGGCAAAACTTCAGTTGTTACTTTTAGCTGTAGTTGCACAAAAGTAATTATTTAGTGGTCTAATATTAGTGGCTTAAAAAGATTCTCATTCTACTTCCCCAAGCTACTGCTTATGATTTAAATGTAAACTTATTGATTATTGATTGTATGCCAGCCTAAGCACATATCATTCATAACTCAGGCTTTTACTAGGGCAATAGTCTTCACTGATCAATGTGATCTGTCAGTCACTGATCATGTCTAGAGCCTGCCCTGGTCGCACGGAACTTGGACAGCCCCAACTTAACACGTACTGGCTGGAGAGACAGAGCACAGTACATAATGCCATCATCTCTTTCTTTCTCTGTCAGCAAAGCAGCAGATACCAATATTTGCTTCTACTCCCTGCCCCCATGCAAATGATATCCTGGTTCCTTCTGGATTTGGCAGCATTTGTTTTCTATTCTCTTTGATTTTGGAGAAAAACAATGCTTTACATTTAAAAGAAAAGCACCATAAAATCTTCTAATGTAAAAGGGATAAATCCTTTATTATAAAAAGCTCCCCAGTGAAATTAATGGAAAATACTAGAAGTTTTTCTTCTTCAGTGGGAACCATTGGCTGCTGTCCCTTTCTGTTTCCATTGCTTGGCTTTTCATCACTTCCTTTGTGCTAGTCATTGGAAATCCCTGGAAGCTGCATAGCAGATTGTTGCATAGCATATGCGGGGCTGGGAAATGCTTTACTGTTCTGTAGCCATGGTCTACCTGATGGAGACCTAATGGAGACCTAACTAGCCTGAAAGGCCTTTAGAGTTTCTGCAGTACAGAAAGCAAGAGGAAAGGATTGATTTTCATTCCCCTTAAGACTTCCACCTCATGAATGTAGTACCCAGCTGTTTATCCCCTGTGAAGCTTGCTGGATATATGGGGAGCATCACAGTACCCTGGGAAAAGAGAGTCTGCTATCACTTCTGTTAGAACTTCATTCTCCGATCCCTGCAATATTGTTGCCTTCTTTTATATTTATAGTGTGACCTCCCCTCTGAATATCTTCTGCACCTTTTTTGTTGTCATTCCAGAGTATGCATCCCATCAAGCTTCTATACCCACAATTTGTCCTTATTAATGGACCTGATTTTAAAAAGAACCTTATAGTCAATATTATCCCCCTTCTTGGGAGGAGAGGGTGGCAGGGAGGGAATTGCTGACCTTTCTGGACTGACTCTGACAAGCCAAGGCACCATGGAATCACAACTAGGAGGAGATACAGCGTCCAAAAGGAAGTTGATAGTCGCAGACCCTGACAAGTTTATAATATTCTATATTGGGCTCAGAAATTATTTTGTATGTGCTGAGAGCATATTTTTCTATTAATGACACATTGTATGGAAATCATGCATGTCTGCTAACAAACTGTGTGCTTTTTTTTCGTTTTTTTTTTTTTAAACAATAATAACTGTCAGGTCCA